TAATGCTTCATTTGTAATTATAATTTTCACACAGATTAACACACAGTCGCCACAGTAGAATCGCCATATATGTTTACTACAGTTGGTCAAAGTGGATGGTTGGATCTCTAATACATGGCACACAGATAGTGTTCAAGTTAATACCCCTATTTTGGGGGCCTTTTAATACTGGCAAGCCATCTTCTGACAATGGAAGAAAACTACTCTTTAAGCCCAAGTATTGATTAGTCTTTCAATTTAGTGTGCTGGGCCTAACACTGAACAGCTTTCTCTTTTCACAGAACACCTACCACAATCTATTCATTCTCTTCTCTCTGCCTCGATCCTCTGCTCCAGCTCCACACTGTAACAGCCTAGGCGCTGTTCGCAGCAAAGGCACGCAATGCAAAGGGGTATAGGCTGGGGGCTCATTACCATATGAATAGGACACGGTTGTTGATTGTGGTGACGGTGTAACATTTTTCTCTTGTGTGTGAGTCTTCAGTGTGGTTGAATCATAGATCCGATGCCACCCGAAGAAGAAAACAACCAAGGATTCGCCCAACTGTTCTACCCCTCATCGTCCTCCCAACTCCCAAGACAATAACAGACTTTACTCATCCCTTCCCCTTGCAAATTGGGTTAAGTTTGAATGCAAGGAAAGATTCAATGTTTGGTGTCGAAATTTCACCCCTTTGTTACAAGTTGTAGCGACTTTCTCCCCTTGTAGATTCCAGCAGAGATGCAGTGAAAATTGCATGCTGGTGTTAGGAAGCGGCTGGAATTGTCCGAGTATGCCGGCCAGTATTTGAATAGTGACCATCCTCTTTTACAGTTTGGGTTTGCATTTAGGCTTTATTTGAAACGTGGAAAACTGGAATGAGGATGTGTCTTGAAAAGTGTTACTTTCTGTGTGCAGAGGTGTCGTAATCCCCTCATGGAAATTTGCATTTAAAGTTTGCTCTAACTTTCATATAGGCAGTACAGGACCTTGGCTTGCTGTATCATAAACAATGTGGCCTAAAAAGTCCTTATATTCCCCTTAACATTCTATGAAATTACCCAGTATATTACAAACAAATCAGAATTTATTTCCTACATTGCACTTAATGCATTGCATTTTTTTTTAATGTATTTTTCTGAATAGTTGAATGTGTGACAAAAAGAAACTGTGGACAGAGCTGTTGAGAAGCTGAAGACAGATTCATTGAAAATATACCCCCCTTTTCAGAGATGTCACAATACCAAATAAACCACATAAAAACTAACTATAGTGTACCGGTAGTATAAATTATTCACAGGATAAATTGATAGATGTATCAATGAGGAAAAAGAATGAGACATAACTTTGGAGACTTCTTTATAAACTAACTTTTGAAAGAAAGAAATTACTTTGTGTAGATTGAACAAAATAATCAAATTCTTTACAACTATTCATGTATATGCACATACACTGAGCCACATAAACCACAAATTGAATTGTTACAACTTTTGCAGTAATGTAAAGAATCAGTGGTAATAATATACCATTGTAGAGTGATATGTAAGTTGTATTGTACATGCATTTAAGTGGGTGGACATTCCTAAGTCATGACCAAACTTATGAACTTCCATCGCAAATGTATGTTTATCACACCTGTATTTATTGACTCTCGGTCTGTCTGACTTGGTGTGTGGTGATGAGATTAAAATCCTGTACACTTGTTATTTATAACTGCATTTACAGCTATCAAGGCTAGGTTGTGAGGGAAATATTATTCAAAATTATATTTAATTGTATTATAATTATATGAATGTTTTCTCTTCTTTAGCAATAATTTACATATTAACACTGGCATATTGAATTTATCATCAACTTTTACAAGATTGTGATCCCTCAAAAACTATGTGCTGTGCATTTTTTCAAACCCCTTTGTACAAGCACTCACATATTTCAATAATTCATACTAATTAATATACTCTTGCTTATAGATTGTTTTGAGGAAGGGTGAGAGTTACAATGTAGTTCACATGTTTTTGGAACATCCAACTAATAGACCTACATGTACATGTACATGTGTTCATTAAATCATACCTTTTTCTTTTTACTCAAAATTGCTCTAGAAATATGTGTTACAATACAAATTAATCAATTTAAGCTTTTTTTGTGGGGGGGGGGGGGGGGGTGTACATATTATTTTACTCATTCATTTTCAAGAAAACTAATTATGAAGGTTCTCCTCACAGTCCTAATTGTATCTTGTGGCAATTTGTAAAGAAAGCAGACTGGTTTCCATTTTCCAATGTCCAGTTCAATAAGGCACATTATAAAATGCACATGCCCACTTCTAGAACACAGAGAAATGTTATCACACCAGTCTGTATAGGTTGCAAGTCAATGACCTCTGATGTCAGTAGCCTGTAGTGATTTTGATCTTAATGAGCTTGGAAGTGTTGAGTATCCATGGCTTTTATCTCAATCCATGTATACAGTGACACAATCCCCTTATCAACACAAATATCCAGCTGGGGTTGAATTGAAACAAAACATTTGTCAGATCAACTCATTCCTGATTAAAAAATCCATCAGAGCGTTATATAGAGTTAAAAGCGAAGATTAAACACACTTTATTCTTTATATAGATAACATGTCCTAGAATATACAGGTGAATGTGCACATCTATACATGCATTGTACAGTCAGTGACCCTTTTCCTATAACATTTTGATATACATGTAGATGAAATGTGATTTAAATAGTCCTGAATTGCAAGTTGCATTTCCTGTGGCCCCAAAAAAAGAAAGGGAAAAGAAAAAAAAATCTAATTTGGCTAGAAGGGTTTAAGTGGGAAGCAATTGAATCAAATGAATTAACATTTAATGATCATTTATTGATTTATTGTTACATTGTGTATACAAAGTTACAAACTGTAGTAGGGACTGCAATACAAGGTAACAAAACTAATAAAAACATTGAAAGTTGCCTCAAGAAATAGTTATAATGGGACCATTAAAAAAATCACGAGTGAACTGTATGTTTTGTAGTTCTCAAGTAGCTTTCTATGAATTATATCTGTTGTCATTGCTCAATTTGTAGACTTTTTCCCCATTTCTTTGTAAAAAAAAGCCCTTAGTCTGGCCATATACCATAGACCCCTGTCGAGTCAATTTCCTATGACAAGACCCCCACTGAGAGACCAAACCTCAATTTTTATTGGACTCGGACAAAGAAGATAATGGGAACAATTTCTGGGAGATAAATGTTCTAGAAGTTTATCAAAACTTCTTTATAATTACATGATTATGATGACAAGAATCAATGATTTTGTTTTGATAAATGTGCATTATCTGCAATGACGATCACAGAGCTGTGATACAAAAACTCTCAATATAGTTTTTAGCCACTTAAAAAAAAGAAGGAACCATTGTAACAAGCTTTTTTAGCCAGTGCTCAACGGCACTCTGGCTCTCCACCGACACAGTTGTACAGGCATATATGCAGTCTACATCAACATGCAGCTGGCTGGCAGTGTGAATACATTTGCAAACCACAACACAGCACTGCAGTACTTTAAAAATCAAGAACTCCTCTTTTGACATCGAATTGATAAAAATCTCCTTTTTATGTAAGGTGCTACTTTCTCGATGCCCTATTACACTTTCATAAAAGATCCTAAATTGGAGAAGTAGCCAGGTTTTTTTGTTCACACGTTTTATCAAGCTACTTGCGTGTGATGAAGTGTTGATACAGTTTCAGCTGTTATTGTTTTTTTCGATGGATGGAAATGAGATTTTCTCAGTAAATCATTTTTAAAGTTTGAAATTGTCAATTTTTCCTGCGACTTTAATGATCTTTAATTTTGTTGTAGTCTGTAGTATGTCAAATTGTGCACACTTTCTTTGTGAAAGCAATATGTAGCATTTCATTCTTTAAAAAAAAAAATCATAATAATTGCTGGACTAAAATTGAGATAGTTTTATAAATAGACACATGTATATAGATTAAGTCTGATTAACTGCTATTATTTCATTATAATTTACATGCATTCAAAGTAGTAGTAAATTTTTGCAGGCTCACAATTGACCACATGACTTATCATATTTGAAAGGAAAGTCAAATGAAAGGGCAACATAGAGCTTTTTCATTACAGGTTTGATGGCATTGTTAGAAAATTAAATCATTCATCACTTGTCAAAGCAAATGAAACCAATTACTGCTTTGACGTGAAAATGGGAAACCCATCAGTCACTTATTGCAGAGTTTAGTGAATTGGTAGCTTATACTCCGTTGTAATGCCAGAGTGAATCAATTTGAAATTCGTGAAATAATTGACATGTAAATTTACTGAGCACTGGACCACTCAATTATAAATGGAAAATACAGTAAATATCAGGGCTCTTGCTTAACTTTTCATATAGATTGACAACCAAGACAATTGTTTATGTTGTCTGTTACTTTCAATTTGGTGGTCTTTACAGAAAACTGCTTAAAATTCACATGAGAAACAAAAAATAATTTTGAGGAATTTTTTCATTTGCCACCCAGGCAATGGAAGCAAGACTTCAAAGTTGAGATTTTAGGTGGCCAATGGCATTTAGGCAACTGGTAATTTCGAGCTATGAGTTTAGCCTGAGTCTGCTTTGAATATACCCTCTTTGTGAATATGCACGAAGATTAGAAATGCATTTCAGCGTCTTTTTTGGTACATCAATTTAGCTCACATTTTCTTACATGTACATGTACAGTATGTCTGCATATGAAGACCTCTATGGACATGTATGTACATGTATCATTATACAATGTAGGCTATAAGTATATTGGTGATAGAATGATGGTTTTATTTTCTTGACAAAGGCAAATGCTATCACTTTGTTAATTAAAGGCTTAAATCAATTTAACTTTATGTCTGTCAGTACAGACTACATGTTCATGTACTTCAAATCAATGGAATGCACAACATTTGCAATGTGTTCATCCGATATCTGTGAGATTTCATGCTGAAAACGATGGAAGAAAATGAGACAAATTGGAAGTTCTGGTCGCTGTGTGAGGTACATGTGGGGCATGGAAGGAACGCTATTTAGGCACGAAGTGTAATTTGAACATTCGTGCAATTCACACTCAGGAATGTGCCATGGAATACATAATTTGTTTGGGCTTAGTCTTGATTCAATACACTGGTTATTCCTTTGCTAGGTTCTTATATCTGCTCAACTTTGAACACTGAATTTAGGAATAGAAGCCTCCCAACATCGCTGTACTGAATTTAAAGAAAAAAGGAAAAAAAAGATAGATATATGTTTCAGGTATGCGTACATGTTGTCCAACATTGTCATGATTGTGGTAATTAAAATGAATAAGGCAAAACAACAATAGTCTTAAGTTTCAATAGTTAAATGGCAGTGAAAAAGCAACGATTGTTTTTTTTTTATTACACATGATACAACTGCTTTGCTAGTACAGTGTACTTAAGGACAGGGTACCATGTTTTAAAAAAAAGCAATCTTGAAGTTTGTTGATAAATTGTTGAATTTTTAACGTGAGAATTCACCCTGCTTTGAACACAAAGGGAAAAACCAGTTAGATTCAATCTATACAAATATATACCTTCCTGGTGCAAAGGAACATGGCATCGTGTTCAAAAATAGGCAATTTTTGTAAGTTTGTTGGTAAATTGTTGAAGTGAGAATCCAGTCTGATTAGAACACAAAGGGCAAAACCAATGATATGCAGGGGACAATGCAGAAACCCCATCAAGATTTGACCTGCCGCTGAACAGCTCTTAACTTCTAAAAACCGCTGAAAGGGTATTGAGCCTTTCTCTTTCAAAAAGAAAGCCGCTAAAATAATATTTCATTCTGCATTATGTGATCCATATCATTGCACTGTACACAGTCTGTAATTCCGCTGTGTTAGGGGTAGAATCAATGAAAAACCAAATAATGGAAAAGGTTTTAGTTGATATTTTTAAATGACCTTGTGTGATGCAGACAAATTACTATACAGTGTATATTCACAGAGATATAGAACTTATATGCAAAAAGAAATGTTCTGTAGATTAGTTGAATATATTGCTAATGCTTCAAAGAAACTGGAAGCATGTTTAAAAATTATGAACGACTGTTCATGTTCATTTCAAAGTCAATATATATGGGGAGGTGTCATGAACATAGTTGCAAAGTCCTGTACTTCACCTATTGAAATGTTTGAACATGACACAATTTACATTTGGAGTATGTAAATCATACATTGACTTTCAGTTGATTTCTCAAAAATCTTTTACAAGTGTTTACAAAAAAAAAAATACATTTCAATGTTGATGAAACTAAGAATTATGTAAAATGGTCTGTGCAATAGAATACTAGCGGATTTATGATATCATACAGTGTGTTTGCTCTAAAATCAATCTCGCATTCTTGTTTATCCCTCAAACTGACCCCCCCCCCCCCCCACAAAAAAAGAAAAAAAAGAAAGAAATTGGTACCGAAAATTTGGCTCAATCTTCTCAGGCTCGATCTGCCCTAGACCCTCCCTGACAAGGTTCAAACCATAGCATTTTGTTTTCAAACCTTCTCCTGGGATATACCCTTAACCTTGAGATGTCGGCCAGCATTATGTTCCCTAACCATGTTCTCATGTTTACTCCGATTTTTTGATGCTATCCAACACCAATGCCATTAATATTTTTCATATTGGTGCTTGGGTGTACGGGCCTTCTCATCTTTTTTCGATTAGGACTGCATTATGACATGTACAGTGAGACGTGTTAGCTGTTATTGGAAAAAAATATATATATGAATGACTTGTTGGAAGTGTACACACGTACACTACATGTGTAGATGAATAATGATGTAAAATTATCCTTGATATTTCATCAGATCTATGCTAAGGTACACTGTAGGGGTCCAGGTACCAATATACAATTTTGGCTTCATAAGTTTGTCAATTTTCCTCTTTTATTTTTAGTTTACAAATGTTTACATTATAGATAAATTATGTAGTGTAGACCTACATGTATATACCCTGTATATTTCATGTTGACATGTGCACATTATTGTGCAAGTTTGAGGATTTGTTGATGAAATTTGTGAAGCATTGTAATTAATTACATAGTACATACATGTACATCATATTTCATGTATATATTTTTACCTTGACATCGTTTGAGACTTGTGTAGAATCACAATAAAACATATGGATGTACATGTAGCCAAAATCTTTGAAGAGAATTCATTTTCCAAATCCATCTGCCAACTACTTGTAACTCTCGCATGAAATTGTAGGGCAGACCGATTTAAGGAATAGCTGAGCGTTCTTCACGGAATTCAGCAAGGTAGAAGACTGTCGTCTACCTCTGGGGAGGATAAGGTGCGATGGCGTGTGTTCATAAGGACCAAAGCTGGGGTTATTTGGTTACAACCCCAGGTGTGTGGCTGTGAGTTCACGTGATTGGCAGCTAGTGACAGAAATGGTAGAAATGGAAGTATTCCCTTCTCAAAGTTATAAATTCAGAGAACACAGAAAAGGAATACTTCAGAGCAGTGAGTGATTTTTTTCTGGAATCCTCTAAAATAGCTCTAGTAATCTCTCGAAGACCTCTAGTAAAAACAAAACAAAATGGGTGCGAGCCAAAAATGTCTTTATAACAATTAAACTTTTCCCAGGAAGCCTAGCATTTAAAACAAAAGAATGTATCGCTGACATGCTATTTAGGCTGTAACTTTAGGATCGATGCAAATACAAAAATCCAACTTAAGCCTAAAAAAATTTGCATTTTGGGGAAAAAAAATGGAAATCGCTGAATGAGAAAAATGGGAAATTCTTCAAAATTGTGACAAGCAATGTCCTTGAGGTTTGACGAGTCAAAATATTTCATTTGAATGGATCTTTTACTTTGTTTCTTTTTGTTACCCAAAACGCTTGTTATGACCCTCTTGTACTTTTTGTGGGAAATTCTAGGACTGAGAAAGAAACAATATGACAAAGTGTTGAAAACATGGCCCTTTTTTTTCCTTACCTACTTGAAAAGATAAATCAAAAGTAAATTTATTTTGAACTTTTTATTTAACATTTAAGCTGCTCATCAAATAGATAAAAAATATCATAACATTTATTTCTCTATACACATACATTGAGTAACATTTATTTCCTTTTAAGTATTCAACAAAGGCCTAATTCAACCAGTCAACCTTTCATTCTTGGGTAATGAAGAAAGAAAAAAAAACACATCAAAATTACAAGGGGTATGAATAATTTAGTTGTTATCTGTATAATTTGCTTTTGGTTGCTAATTTAACAGAATCCTAGGGGGAATAAGTGCATACAATGCAGGGCTGATATTTTTCTTTTATTCAGTTTTCTAATTTTGGCTCACAATTCATATGTGGCTCGCACACGTCCATGTAACGGCTAGCATAATATTTACTTGCCTAGCCGACCCTAAACCCACGTAGGATATATGAAGTAGTGTATCTCCCAAGGGTTCTGAAAGAAAGGCTGTCAAAAAAATTGTGACCGAACAATGGTTTAGAGCTTGGCCCAGTATACTTGAGTGCGGAGAGAACTAGGCAAAGAGGATCCGTGCCATATACTTATAGAATGTCAACAACTTAGGCTCAATAAAGTTTTCTGTAATAAATTTTCTTCGCTTTTGAAAGCCAATACTTAAAATTGTTATGCACGTAGTTACAAATTTACTTTCATGTGTGTTTGTTGACATTAATTGCTTTCATGTTTCTATTCAACCCAGCGACAATTTGGGATCCTCAAGTACAGACCACTCGTTTAACAATAGATGTGTTGAGTTCTAAATTTGCTTGGCAACATCTGTTTGTTATGATCAATATTCATCACTTCCAATTTCATATTTATTCCAATATATGAAAAACAGAGCTGCTGTAATTTTTTCTCCAAAGGTGAACTTTTGTAGGTGTGAATGTGCCCACCACAGGTGTAAAATATTGGTGGGGTTTTCAGGAGGCCTTGTGTTACAGTCACAGAGCTGTCTTTGTGGTTCTATTGACATTATAGTACAGTACGTGTACATGGTAATTCATTTTGATTATTGCATTCCCATACCCCTCTCCCCCTTTCTAGATGTACATATAAAACACATAATTTAGGCCCATATGATAAATGCTCTTTTTTTTAAATGTAAAGGAAAATTGTTTGGGACGAGTCAGGTTCATCCACATGTTTCTAATGAAAATGATTTCACAATACTGATTTCATTACTAATAAGTAATAACAGATTGTATTAATTAAAGGAATACGCGATGTGAGATGCCAGCATTTTGAAAGCCCAAGTTATTTCTGCATGTAGATGATAATGCAGCATAGATGAAAGACAATACAGGAGCACAAATAAAATCTATTCAGAGTCACTCGACCGTTTTTTGCCATTACCTTGACAAGGATACAAGTGCTATTCAAACCGAATGTAGCAGAAGAAGTTTCAACACCACCTTCCACTGACCCAACCTTTTTTCTTATAAATAAATTTTTCAAATAAAAGGAGATATTGTCTGCTGCATTGATTCTATTGTCCATTTGCCGGTCTGTTATTTTTGGAACTTCATGTGGAAAAGGGTGAAGAAAAAGAAATAGAAGAGAGAAAGCAAGCAAATGTCATGAGAGGAATGGCTCTCTCTCTCTTTTCGACGACGTCCCTATGTATAGTCTTTGATGGATGGGACACAAGTTGAAGAAGGACCTGTAGAAAGTTTGTTTGGTTTGGCTGTTTGTTTTGTGGCAAGGCGAGCAAGAGAAGTCTGAAATCTAGTTGTTCTTACAAGTGCTATTTCTGTTGCAGAACTTGTCCTCTTTTTTTCCTTTCTTTCAGGCCGTTCGCTTGATTTTTGTCCCCACTTGAGTTTTCAAACCTACATGTATACTTACATGTACATAGCCTAAATAGCATATTTACAGTGTGTCTTTTGCCCCCTCCAGGTCTTTCTTTTTCTGAAATCCCAAAGTGTCCATTGTACGTATAGGCCTATATATTGTACTGGTACCAAACATAATAAAGTGCCATATATCTAAATCTAGAGCAATTTGATTCAACCTGCGGCTCATATTTTATCAAATATGTCCATAAACATGATTTTAGTGACTATAGTTCGTGAAATCTTTTCCTAAGATTGTGCTCAATAAAAATCAATAAGCATTATTATTTACAAGCCAACCAAGGCTGGCTGCAGCAGAGCTTATTAAACAATAAGCACAGAAAAACTTGACAACAATTTTCTCACAAATTCTGCCCTTTTTTCAAATGTTGCCATGCACAACAGTTACATTTCTAAGCCTATTCTATAAAGAAAAGGGATATCTGTTGCCCTCATTCAAAAGCTAACCAGTTGAACCGTTTTCCCACAACCAGGGGATACAATTTTTAAATGCCCATACCATGGACCATAGGAATATTATCGATTCAACTTCTACTTGCATAGTTTTGTACTTCAAATTCTGAAACAGAGTGTGACTTCGCAGGCTCCATGTTGCTTGTCACTGTGGTCCCATCTCATATATGTAATTCATGCTTTTCACAAATTTTTAACCCCTTTTTGACTGGGTGGTTTACTTTTGTCTCTTCACTTTGACGCAGCAACGCATGAATGCGGCATGGAAAGAAGTAAGCAGACAGCGGAAAAACAGCTCGGGGCAGAGTTGTGTTCATGAAAAGCTAGGGAGACAGACAATGGAGTTTGGTTTTTGGAACCATAATAGATTTTTAAAAGAAGAATTCCCTCATGTGCCCACATACTCGGTGTGAGGGTACATGCACGTAATCTCTATTCAGAATGTGAGATATAAAGCTTAAAACATCATTGAAGTCCGAATGATCCCACATAATCATATAGTACATGTATTCCATCGGGAAAACGATTTTCAATTCGTATTCACATACAACCCTGTAGGTCTACTTTATTTTTACATCTTACATGTACAGTGTGTACAGACAGATACTTGTAGAAGTTTGTATACATATAATATCACTACTTGTTGTATTCCTTTGGAAGCACGTATCTTGCACTATACAAGAACAGCATATCATATGTTTGGAGCCAGAGGGTTGTTAACTATCGGTATTCTCTAATAGATTTAATGTCCTTCTCGCTCTGAAGGGACAAATCTATTATTCGTACTATTATTATTAATCTTCCTGGTTTCAGAGGGCAATGTCACTGAACAGACAATGGCTACATTATTATAGACATTAAACATCAACATCGCCCCAGTATGTATACACTGTATGTGCACACATTGAACATTGTACCTGTTGATCTGTGTACTTTACACTGTACAGGTACATGCAGACACAATTTACTTCTTAAGTTCACTTAATATGTAGTCAAACTTCAAAGGTTAATTGTACATGAAGTTCAACAATACATATTGCAATTACGTTTGCTATATGTTTTGATGGAAGAATTACATTTGTTTGAGCTTCTGCAGGTTAAATATACATTTAGTTCATTGAACTAAATATAACATGCAAACACGAATCATGCCATCTTGAAGCACATAAGTTTTCAACCATTTTTGACCCTCTGAAAATATGATTTTTTTTTTTTCTTTTAAGGTTTACATGTAAGTAGAGCAAATGAGCCCTAGGTTATGTGCATGTATTTGAGAAAAAAGTTGCAGTCTACAATTGTTTAGTCTGTTGATCTACACTTGCAAGAATACTTGCTTTTCTTTATGATTTCAAACTCAAAGGGGAAAAATAATTAAGAGCTTCAATCGTTATAACTCTTGCACTGATTGACCAACACAGACACATTCTTTCCCTGTGATTCACCATGTTTTTATTGGTCACTTTCAAGAAATTGTTTCATGTCATTGTCTTGCATGAGACAAGTACGCAAGAATTTATCAGCTACTTGCCTCTGTCTTTGATAGCAGGTAGTATTGTTTAATGACCTAATAAATAGGCCATTAAACACGGTACCAAAATACCGCAGTTTGTAACTGTGCATAACACTCAGAACTGTTGATGAGTGAGCTAGCCGCTAGGGCTGACGCACATCCCTTTATCATATTTTGGAAGAAAATATGGGGAAATTACAACAAAGGGGGGATCGGGGGGGGGGGGGAGAAGAAACCTATCTTTAGGTTAGTGACTTTGAGATAAGATCAGTTGAATTGAATATAAAGACACAATGTGAACAATTATTTGAAACGAAAGCATCGTTTATTATAAATGTTTGCAATGTAATGACACTGTATTTGTTCAACCCGGAAAAAGTATGTTTATTACCTTCTTGTAGCTCTTCCTGAAATGGATTAAAATTTTATTCAGCTTGTAAAGTTGGTGGGTAAATTTTTAATGCTGAGCCTCTTGAAAAATCATTCATCATTAGTATTTAATAATTTTCCTCATACCAAATATGACATTTATAGTTTTTCTCTATAAATGAATTGTATTGTCAAGAAATATTTATAGGTTTTGCAAAGTGCAGCTTTCCAAAAATAATTATTTTGACTTTTTGTAGCTGACGTGTATTTGGAAAATATTTATGATTTTATTGGCCTGTCATCTGTCAAGTTTTCAAGATTTTACCTACCGGTATTTAGTTTTCAATTTCTTTTAGCTATTTATCCACTAGAAAATAAATAAATAAGTATATGTTTCTGACTGTTTGCCACAGTATTGGCATGCTTAGTTAGATATTTGTTCAAGTCTATTCGGTTGAGCTTGTAGTGCAAACTCCTTTGCCAAGGCCCTTCTCGTCACCTTCAGTTTTTTTCTTTCCTTTAAAAAAAAAAAATCTCTCCTTTTCCATCACCTTGCCGTTGAGCCAGCTTCATATTTGTTTTGATATGAAAAGGCTTGTGTGCTCATCTAAGCATACTCTACTATTATCTCCATTACTTTTCACATCACCAAGTATTTGTTTTGGTAAACCTTTGTATTCAACCCAGGCACTAAAAACTCGGCAAAGGCGCCACATGATCTGGACAAAATAATTGGACAGCTTCGGATAACCTTCTATTGTGGAATCCGCCATAGCCCTCGGGCATGGCTGTATTCAGTCCCAAAATCTCTTTTGTTGCAAAAATATTTATGATGATCAAAAAATCAAATACCTTAGCCACAAGGAGAGCTGCTAAAAATGACTAAATAATTTTTATTGACCTTAATATATAAATATATATGCTGGTATATTTACACAGTATGCATATAGTCAAGTGGTCAACAAATATGTACTTGTAAGCATATTTCAATATGATAAGCACTGGATGATTTTCAATTTTTTGTTCTTCCAATGAATATATTTATTGACCTTGATATTCTGACTTTTATGATGAAGTTAGGGATCAAGAGGTAAGCCATATAAATTATGATCAGCTTCACTATGCCTGTATTTTCATCATTTGAAATAAAATTGTGGATATTTACTGTAAGAAGT